GTTTTGTTTCCTTTTGTATTCAAAATCCAAAATAACCCAGCAGCTGTGTGTGTAGGTAGGCAAATCTGGGTAAATAATGAAAGACTTGGGGAATGATGGCCCTGATCTGGTAAAGCTCAAAGACATGTAGATCTTTGAGCAGCTGCTGACAAGCTCTGAAAAACTGGAGGGATTTATAAGCAGCCAGTGAATGGCAAAATATATAGCAAAACATATAGATAAATGACTATATAATAATCATTGTTCCTAATTTAGTCTCTCAACCTTGAAACGAGTGGAATGTGTTATTGTTTGTTATAGTACTAGCATTATTTATCACTTGTCAGATGGTAGGGCACAGAGATTCCATTGTGTTGCTGTATAAACGTGTAGTTAAAGAGCTACATTTGATATGAGCTACATTTGATACTAAAAATGCCATTTAAAGGAGCTTTGAAAAGTTCCAATAATTAACTGATTAATAAATCTTTATACAGTCTTAGAGCATCCATAAAGTAGTCAATAGGTTATTACTAAACAGAGCAACTTACAACTTCTTCCACAGATGTCCTTATACGCATTTATGGTATACCATATGCACATGTGAAACCTTCTGATAGTAAGTATTAACTGTTAAACCTCAGGAAAGAACTGCCTCTTTTCTTCATGGGTAATATTAAAGAACTTAAAGGCTGAGCATTTAGCCATGTAGGATTAGAAGACTCTCAGGAGAGCTCGGTAGGTGTATTTGTCCAGACCTTGAGACATGGTGAGTATCAGCAGCCGAAATTAGTGTTTATGAAGACAAATGTTGAATACCTCCTGAAAACAACCAAAGTAGCTTGCTTGCTGCTGAAAATTTTCATAGGCCTTCCAGTATTGCAGTCCCTGCTTTTTTGTCAATGTGTGGCATATTACAGTGATATTTCTGTCATACTGCTGAAATTTTGATATTTGGGAAACCTAATTTTGAATTTGCAGACCTTCATATTTCAGCAAAGTCAACTGTATACAGATTCTAATTTGCCAGAGTTAATGTTACTGTGATAGTTATGTATGTTTGCTTGTGGCAGTAACCTGACGTTACATCAGGGAATAGAAGCTTTTGCATACTGTCCACGTACACAATAGAAGAAAACCTCTTCTGAGAGGGAGCTTAGAGTCCAGTATCAAGAATAAGCACTGGTTATTTTCCATTGTTACTGTCCCTGACATTATACACATTACAAGAATGATTTGTAGATTTTTTGCTTTCTTTCCCTATGCTTATTTAGTAGAATTTTTATGTGTTTGCTTTAGCCCAAATCACTCTGTTTTCATTTTCAGAGGCTAATGGAATTACCAATGACTGTATTGATAATACTGGGGCTATTTTTATGCATTGAATCTCTTTAAGAGTCTGCTCTGCTTAATATTACAAGCATCATACAAAAGTACAGTAAAATGATATTAAGAAAATATGATGAGGTGAGATCTGTGCATATGTATCTTTTATTTAGGCCTTAGAGTTGTGTGCAGACACTGATATGACGCAATACCCATTAGATTTCAAATTATTTGTAGCAAGAGTGCTATCTCAGTAATAAAATAAGCTTGAGATAAGTGATACTGTGTCATCTACTTTAGTGGTTTTCCTATATTTTTATTTATCTGGTTTTGCTGTTACAAAACCTATTAGAAGCTGAGAAACACAAACAGCATATAGTATATGTGACCTAATGCACTGATTGTATTTCCACCTTTTAATAATCATGTTTAATTGTGTTGTTCACTACTGCTGTCAGTATGGTTTGATTCCTTTTGCCACTTACATTCTTCCTATTTGCCTTTTGGTTTGGTTCATTATATTATTACGCAATAATGTGAGTAGCGCTACTGCAAAGGTGAACTACCACAACAGCTAATAGCGTGTGATGTATCCGAGATCTGGTAGTGTTGCACTGCAGAGACAGTTGCTAAAGTTGCGTGATTTTTTTTTTTTTTTTATTATTAACCTTTGTGTGTCTATGCCTTATAACTGGTGATAATACTATGCTGAGGCTTCATTATGTTTTTGTGAGAGATTAGCTTTTTTCCTATGTTTCACTAGTTCTCTCTGCTGAGATAGAACATTGCATCTTCACCCAAAGAAGTTGACATATACTCACTGTAAGCAGTAAACAGCAGAGTAATGGAGAGAAGAACTTGATGTGCTTGTCTTTTTAATGTTTAACTGCAATGTTTAAATATAGTATGTAGTGATTTTAATTGCCTGCTGATAACTAAGCCATCTATATCCCTACTAATCTGAAAGGGAGAAGGAACCGTTAATATAACCCTCCCGTATAGTAGTTTGACTGCTAATAGAGTCTTCTTTCCTATATTCTTCTATTTCATTAAGAGTGGTATCTTAGAGCACTGAAAAGCGTGGAGTTAATAAGGGATGTAATACGACTGTTCTCTAGGCCTGAGGCTCCTTGACCACCACTCTTCTGCTGCAAGGAGGGTCATACAGTGCTTTACAAGGTCTTTCATTTTGAAAGTTTGTAGTGGTTTAAAAAATATTCTGCATGCTTAAAATAGGATCGATTGTTCAGTGTTGTTGTTTCTTGGACTAGTAGAATATTTTTGATAGAGTAATTGCCAGAAGGAAGGTGATGATGCAGTCTCACCCCTCTGCACAGCACAGTCCAAAGAAGCTTGCTCACAAGCCTATGCATCAAACCCATAGCTTCTGTTTGTGCATTACCATTGCTTTCTGGATGTTATCCTGTCTTGCTAAAAAGGCTTTAAATACTACAAAATTTACTGTGCACACAACGTAGCTGCTGCAAGATTATTTTCTTTGATAGTTATGTGTCTGCATTTACCTATAAATCTGCATTTGACTAGTTTCAGCTTCCAATAAATCCTTGGATTTTCTGATACCTTTTCTTTTAGATCAAAGACTCTACAATTAGATGCTTCTCCATGTACGTGCTTGCAGGCTGGGGCAAAATAATTTCTTGGCTGCTTCCTGGTTAAACCAAATAAGCTGAGCTTCTTAACCCTGTGACGAAATATGTTTTTCTAGCCCTTGGATCACTTGCCATAACCTTTTTCTGAACCTCATCCCATTTTTAGTCATCTTTTGGAGTTAACTAGAAACAGGATTGTAGTAAGTGTCTTGCTGATGCTGTGAACAAGAATAACCACATCTTCCAGCTCCTACTTGATTGTGCTTCCATATATGGATGCTAAGGGTTGCTTCACCTCTTAACTGCATTGTTGTTCAGGAAGCTCATGTTCATGAAGCTATCTTTTATAATGCTGTTGCACTCCAGGGTATAACCTCCCATCTTTCTAGTGTGGTATGTATTCTTGCCCCTGAATGACTGATTCTATATTCTGTTGTATTAAAACAAGCTTTGTTCTTATGAGCCCAGTTAACTAAAGGATACAGAGCAGCATGCATCACTGACCAGTTTCCATTGCTAACCACTCCTTAGAATCAGTCTCATTTTTATTAAGAGTGCGTCTACTGTTATATTCTTTGTCCCAGCAAAATTTTTGATCAGTCCATGGATCTAGCCCAAAAATAACTACCTGAATCATAATAAGGGCACTTCCTTTCAGTTAGGGGGTCAGCATCTTTAAGAGCAGGGGATGTTTTTAATTAGTATTTGTTTTGCTCAGATCAGTAACAAGAAAATCAAAGGTAAATATAGAGTAGGGATATAAAATAGTAAAAGACAAAGACAAATTCCCTTGATTATGAATCTTGATCTTCCTTTCCTAGCCTAAGTTTGTACCTGGGAAATTTAGTTGAATGCTTGTCCTGTGAGGTCAAATTGTAGCTGCAGCCATGAGCAGACTTCGCTATAGCAGTGGATACAGTTGGGCTATATATTGGTGACTTCCCTTCCTGCCCTCCTGGAAAAAACCTCTGATGTTTGTTAGTGCAGAATGGGACTACCATTTTAGCACATTACTGTAGATACGTACCAGAGTCTTGGCTGCAGATTTCTAATTATTGCAAGTGAAGGATCTCTTACTCAGCTGCAAAGTCTTCTGTAACGTCATCTATGCAGTTGCTGTTCTCTCTTTCTGAAGCTGTTTGGATTCCCCAGGAGCCTGCAAGTCACATCCACAAAACTGGTTTTACGATTTTCAACGTTCAGCTGTTAATGTTGTACGCATATATGTACATACATGTGCATCCAGTGGATTAATTGCTAGCCATATTGAGCTAATTCAAAATGAAAACATTTAAAGCAGAGAAGTAAATTTACATTAGTAAATCAGAAATAAATTCAATCATCTTGGCAGTTAAAAAAATATAACGGGCGTCGTGAAGGATGGTGTTAAAAGCCATGCTAGCAGCAAGTGGTAGGTTGTGTAATTGCCGAACCTGTCTTCTAACCTCTGTTTGACCTAATTCTGCTGAATTCCAGTGGTCTGTGCAAGTACATATTCTCTAGGTATAAGAATAGTAGCAGGAGTTACACTACCTAGAACAAGAATGTACAAGGGCTATCAGCTGTCTTGCCTAGGGGGATGAGATGATTGCCAGCTGAGGTTAAAAAAGGGCATTTCCTTCGTGTGAAGCGTTACATAATTGCTCGCGTGTATTAAGTGTGTTGGGGTTTTTGTCTGAAATGTGTTATATAAGCCAGTGCTATAAGAAGATGCCAGACTAAGAAAAGAGCCTGGCATATGTATTAAGGCAATTCGGTTTTATTCTGTTTTTAATGTCCAAAATAAAATGAGATTCATTTTATGTTTCACCTTGTTAGCTTTGCATTGCATTGCTTTTAACACTGTCCTGCCAGCTTTGTGACGCAAATTTGACTGCAGCTGAGAAAGATTGTTAATCCCCTCATCTCCTTGTGGGGAATCAAAGTTGAGCCAAATGAAATGTTTTGTGCTACAGTGTTTTCTTTTATTGCTGCACATACAAGGCAAGTAAAAATGCTGGCTGCCAGGATCTCGCTAGAGTGATACTGATTCTCCACATTTATGAGATGCCAATAAAATAGAAATTATTCTTTTTCATCTTGCAGCTTACTCTTCACCAAAGTAAAACTGGAATGGATACATAAAGGACCTGAAGAGGCTCTGGTGACATGCAGACATATGTTGCAGATGTGGCAGATGGTATATAATGTTTTACAGCACAGGTAGGATTTTTCCACTGTCTAACAAGTTCAGATTTCATAATGGAGATGCAGTTATTTTCTTTAATTGTCTAGATACTTAAGTTATTTTGCAGAAAGGGTAATAAACAGTACTGTTTAAAAAGAAACATAAGTAATATTTCTAGCTGGGATTAAAAACAAGCGCAAAATTTTAAAAGCCATTATTTAAAAAAAAAAAAAAACAAAAAAAACAAAACAAAAAAACCGCAACAAAACCAAACCTCAATATTTTAAGATGGAAGAAGGAGTTTGAACCAAGGGTTTCTGATTTGAATGTCTAAATATCTCTATCCTTATTCAGATGTCCAGAATGGAGGGCAGATTCCGCCCCCCACCCCCCCCCCAAAGTGCTGAGCATCCATGAGTTATTGCTCAGAGTCTGCAGTAGTTGGCACCCAGGAATGTGAGGGGGTGACACAGTCCTGAACTGAGTAAGCCAAGGAAAGGCACACGGCTAAGACTCTATCATATGCTGTGGTTGCATGCCAGTAGCATAGCCTGGTCCTAACAGGGCAAGGAAAGGACTGAAGGATGTAGCATCTTTCTCCCTTCCCTTGTCCTAATAAATCTGCATTTAAACAGTGCTAGGTTCCCTGTTTGTTCCCTCCCTCTCATCTCCTTCCCCTCTAAAATGAGAAGTTCAGAAAGTATGAAAGGTACCAGGTTGGGTTTTCTTCCTTTCCAGACCCTTTGGATATTGTCCTAGTTATGATACCACTGTACAGCTGTCTTGGGAATGTTATCCCAAGACTGTACTTATCTCTCACCTGTAATGTCCATAGAGGTTGTGTCTGAAGGGAAGGACAGCATGCTTGATGGCAACAGTCACGACAGCAAACTGATGAAGCTTGTATTGTTCCCCAATTTCTGTATGCATTTACATAAACTTTATAAACACCAGAAGTGTATGTACAGAATGCTGCATGTCTGTATACAAATTGTCCTTGAGGGTTTATTAGTAATTCCTTGTTGCTTTAGCTAATGAGCAGCAGACCAAACACAAAAATCAAGATATTTACATAGCAGCAGAGAAATGGTTTCTTACAGGCTGGAATCATTGATTTCCTTAGGCCTTAGTCTCTTTAGCTAAAGATTCAGTCATGTACCTCTCACATGAATAATCTTTATACGCGTGAGTAGTCCTCATGAAGCTGATCAAATTCACACTGAACAATTATGACTAAGATTTACTCTTGCTAGGGGGGGCTGCAACTCTGAGACTGAAGAGAGTACATTGGAAAACAGACAAATGGATAGTTCGGCCATTTGGACTGCATTCAGATCCCAAGCTGTGCTTTGGCTGTTATACTTAAAAACCCAAGATGTGATAGCTTTAGAGACTTCTTATAAGCTTTAGCCATAGAAGCCTAAACAAAATAAATGGCTTTGCTTTTGCTTTTAGGATCTCTTAAATGTGTATTTCACTGCTATTTCCAGTGGGACTTTTTGTCTTTCTCAAAAAATACATCATAAATCATTTTCTATTGGGAAGTACTGCTGGAAAGGTAACAAGAATGAACTTGGTACCTGCAGTTTTAGGCTGGATTTGATGATCCGGGAAGCCCCTTGTATTAAGCAAATGGCAGCAGTATCAGCTAACAAATATGTAAAATATTCCTGGTTGGCCTTGTAAAGGAACTTAAGGGGAATTCTTACCAATGAGACTTGGACACAGACATTTTTCTCTTGGAAAAGAGAAGCCTGTATTTACATAAAATTGAGAGTTGTTGCACCCTATACTCTTTACTAGTTCAATCGGCAGTTGATCGCCTACACCATTAAATTGCACTTTAGTTACATTTGGTTGCATTTGTCTGGCCTAAGTTTCCCAGCTTTGCAATCTTGCTATTACTCTGCTAGACTAGAGAGTCTTTCAGGGCCAATATTTTCTCCCCAGGCAGCTATTCACATGCCATGCTTGAGTCCCCTCTTGTCTTCTCTCTGATAAATTGGTGCCTCTGCAGTCTGTCTCACAATCAAGTGTTCCCTTCAGCAAACATGGGCAGTGGAGTGACAACATGTCCCACTGTCAGCCTTTCCAGGGCTGTATGTGGAAGGCAAATCATCTGGTTGCTGTCCCTTCCATGGTGCATGGAAAAGCTTTCTTGGCTGAAGGCCTTGTACTGCAGCTTTGAAGGAGTAGTTCATTTTCAGCCCTTCTCCAGGATAATAAAGCTGTTGGGAGTGGCTGTTTTGCACAATGCAGTCCACTTGGTTTTCAGGCTAGGATTTCAGTCTGTTTTCCCAGTTAAAAGGCCATGCTGTTGACTGTACTGAGGTGCATTTTGTTAACAGAAGGGATCTCATCAAGCCTTCTCTGGATGCTGCTCTCCTGTGGTCAGTTTTTACTGTGGCCAAACTTACGCCATCCACCAATCTCTTCACCTGTCCTTTGTGTAGGAGTATAGCATATAAGCCAGTGTTCAGCCTTGTGCCTGAACAGTGACTTCATGGTGATGGCTGCTGCATCAAAGCAGTGCTCACCTCATGGGAGTAATATTTTGAAGTGCAGCTGCCATGTTCCTGCATACGCAACGCACCAGTAAGACAGAAACATCCCTACGATTCCACCAGCAGCCCCTAGCCAGGGCACTTACACTTGGGTTAATCCTGGCTAGGCAAGGCTGAGCCCCAGGACAGAGAATTTAATTCTCCCTTGCATCTGTCACTACATGATAGTCTCAAGTGGGGTATCAGTGTAGAAACCTGTATGGAAGGCAGGGAGGCCCAGTCAAGGCCAGAGATTTGTGCAGACAGTCAAATGCACAAGAATTCAGGGTCCATTTAACAGAAACCCTAATATTTGATCCTGAACTCCAAGTAAAAGGTTAATTAGCTATTGTAAATATGATTATTACTATGATGAATGACAGTAAGTGGCTTTCAGTCCTAGATTGTTAGCTGGGAATGATGAGACTTGGTTTATCTTTTGCTATTGTTTTCTGTGATAATGGAACAATCATGTTTAAAACAAAATAGCAGTCCCAAGCTAATTCTTCTGCTAGATTAATGCAAATTCAAGGGAATCCTGTGCAATCCCTACCAAAGGACTGATCAGACTGGAAGATGGGGCATCTACAGCAATCATGACTCTGAGACAGCTTGTCTCCTGGGAGGAATATTGTCCAAAGGCTGAGCTGCAGGCTTGGAAGTGTGCCAGAAAAAGTAGCCAGGGCAGTCACTTTTCCTTTTGATATTTTGTCCCTTAATGGATGATGAGAGGAGATATCATCACCATCTGATGCTGGGGGGATGGCAGACTATGTGATGACAGGAAGGCTCAGGACATCTCTGTTAAGTGATTTTTCATTAGGTACATGTTTGGGGTTTTGGGTTTTGTTTTTTTTTTAGTTTCCCGTTGGAAGACCTCTCTTGTGAGGACAGAAGTCTAGTAGAAGAGAAGACCAGATGGTCCTCCTTTCATAAAGTGGTGCTATGTGGTAGCTTTTATTTTCCTCCTTTGTTTGAACAGAACAAAGAAAATAATCCCTTTGAAATTAAGAAATTGTCAGCCTGGGTGGAAGTTGGTAACTGGTCTGTTTCAAAAGGATCAGCACAGCAGATCTGTGAACAAATCTTTCTGCAGACAAGCCCAAGGGATGGTGGTTCTTCCTGGGCATGAGGCTGCTGGTTGGCCTCCTCTGGTCTGGCTTCTAGCTGCCAAAATGTTCCTCGTCCAGTGGTTTGCAGACTCCCAACAGCCAAATAAACTGATACTGGCATGTGCCTTGAGGGCCTTGCTGGGCGCTGTCTCTCTGAGCTTTCTGTCCATTGGCAGGGTGGGGGTGTTAACACATCAAGAAGCTGATTGCCTGCAACTGGAAAGCTTCAGTGTTCAGTTCCAGTGGCAGCTAGATGAGACTATTGCCTGCTTTCAGGGAACGTTGTCTCTCCGCTGAAAGGTGGCCAGGTAACACAGTTTTGTTTCTTTACAGTGGCTCTGAGAAAGGAAGTAGTGTGACAGAAACACCAGTGATCAAAAAGCATAATGGACTGCATCTCACACTCCCGGATGCTCATGATGCTGACTCTGGTGAGGAAACAAGATTCGTGCTTTCCTGTCGTAAATTCATGCTTTTGTGAGAGAGGAATGTTTTATTTTCTCCAGTGAGGGCAGGGGGGCTGTGCGTGCACGTGTTGCTGGGCTGGTGGTCAGGAGGTCCAGATCAGTCTCCAGGGCCATCTCTACTGCAGAATGTGTCACTGTGGTTTGTCTGTACCTTGGCTTCCCCATGCATAAAACAAAGAGATGAGTTCCTGCTTTCTTTTACAAAGCTCTCTGAGATGAGCATGAAAGGTATTAGATGGGAGTTCACTATACTTCTGCAAGAAATTTATAATTCAGTCCTTTTTTTTTCCTCCCCTCCCCCAGTTTAGTCCTTTTTAGATGTCCTGATCAAGCCAGCTATTATTGTGGTTTTGGAAAGCTGAGTGAGAGTGTCAATTCCTATTAGAGAGTGATTTGCTTTGGGATTTGTACATAAACCTTGTGATGCTTTATTATATGGTAAATACACATTCACAGTAACAGATATAGTCAGATGGAAATAACTGAGACATCAAAGCTAATCTTGGCAGGAAGGGGAAAGGCAGCTTTCAGAGTGCTGCTGACTTGTGATTTTATCATAAGTCTCGTGATATTTGGTGCTTCCTTTAAAACCTTAACTCTCAAAATCAGATGATTATGTGAGAAACTTGCCTTTTAACTTGGAAGTTTTTTTAGGGAAGCAACTTTCTACCCTTTCTATCCTTGTGGATGTAGAAGAAACACTTGCACAAAAATGAACCTTACAGACTCAGGAATTGGACAAGAATATAAAAGCTTGTTTAACTGTTAGCTTCTTTAAAAATGTCTCATGCTTTGGGGTTAGGGAATTAGGGTTTGTCTGAGTTTTAACCATGAACATTTGGAATTGGTAAAACTGAAGTCACATGCTCAGCATATGTGGCTGAGATGGAGGACAAGTTCTTATGTGTTAAGTATGTGACTTGTATTAAATTATGTGTGTTTAAAACCCATTTACACCCACCAATGGTTAAGAAGCATTGCAAGGTTAGGTCTTGAGCAAACATTCAAATATCAAAACATTATTCAGTGTGTCTGCTCTTCTGTTTGTAGTGTTAAACCCTTAGGGTCTATATTTATGACATTATAATCTTACTGATTCTATACACACATATTTATGTAATTTTTAATCTGTTTATTCCATTTCCCCTTTATTACCCTTTGCTGAGATGAGTCTCTGTATTTTGTCGTTTTTCTCATTGTTTATATGGAAGTGTTCTATAGTCTTTGGCTTAATTAACGAGAACAGGCCAAATTCAGCACAGATAGATGAAGAAGATACAGTAAATTAATATGTGCTGTTTGGCATATTAAAAATTATCTGGAAAAGGCAGTTGATATGACATGAAAGTTTCCTAGTGATACAAAATCATTTAGGATAGTCATCACTTGACAGTAATTGTGAAGATTTGTGAAATATATCCTATCATCCCTGATGCTGGGCAGTAAAATGGACTTTCAGTTTCAGTGAATATATGAAAATGGTTTGGAAAACCCTGTAGGTAGTTTGCAGAATCCATCAGCCACTAGGCATTACTAGGAAAGCAATAAAAACCAAAAAATACTATTTGTCACAGTACTTCTGATATCTATCCAATTCCTACTCTGCTGCTGAAACAGTGAGTGGCTTATGGTGCCTAGACAGTAGGGCTGAGCCTGGACTGATTCCTGCCCCTTCAGCTCTAGCTGGTGCTTAATGGTATGTGAAAGGAATTCTGGGTGTGGATCCCATGATCTTCTAGAGATCCCTTGCCTTGCTTTGTAATTGTCTGGAGAAAGGAGTGTGGCCAGGTTTGGGCTACATGCACTTCACAGCCATGGTTTGAGATTTTGAGACCAAATTGTCACCAGCAGAGCCTGTAATATTTTGATATGCTGGTGTGCCGCCATTCTAAGACCTCACTCCTGCCTCCTGCTTTCTCCTCTGCTGCAGACTTGCAACACCTCCTCCAGAGTCACAGCAAAGCTCAGGCATGTTTGGTCTCTATGTAGCGCCCTCCTCAAAAAGCACCTGGGTTGGGTACCTGTTCCAGCCTGCTCATAGCTCAGTTCTAGCACCCAGCATGCAGTGGAGCAGCTGTAGTTCAGAAAGTGCTGTATGCCATGGTACTGCCTGCCAGAAAGAGCAAATTAATGTAAAGTACAGACTTTAAACCAGCTTTTCACACATACATAAAGTGATTTGCACTGAATGCAGTTTGGTTTTAGCCAAGAAATTTATTCCTCCTCCACTTCGATAATCTAGGTTTCCATGCTAACGTGGTTGCACCCACAATGGATGTAAGGATGGGGCTCGTACTGAAATTACACCATCCACTTTAGCGCAGGACTGGCACTAGCTGATTTCAGCAAGGGTCTGTGGCTCGCTGCTCTGCAGACTCTAGGTGCTGCCATTCTCCATCTGCAGAAATGAGGCAACTGAGTCTGTTGTCCTGGTTGGGAGACTCTTTGAAGACAGTGGGAGGTGAGAGTGGAGAGTACAGCTCTAGCCCCTCTCACCCTTGTGCCTTCCCAGAGCTGCAGCTGTGGCTGGCTGCTTTGAAGGAGGGAGGAGGTCTGATTTTTTTCTGCATCATTCTGGAACAGGCTCTGGTTTTCCATCATGAAATCCCCTGGGAGAGTGCGGCAGTATCACTGTAATGCACAGGCACTCTGTGATCTCTGGGCTCATCACTGAAGGGAGGATTACTGCAGCCAGCTTTGACACTGGCTTCTCCCTCAGTTAGACCACAATGAGATTATTTGCTGTGCCAGAATTTCAGGTTTGCTGCCAGGAAGATTAATTCCTCTTTATTTTCTTCCTCTTCTCTTAACAGAAGCAGTGTTCCTAACTAAATTCACTCATACCAGTCAGCTGCCTTGCTGTTTCATTCTTTTTTCTGATTTAGTCTTATCTTATAATGCTCTTGCCTGAAGTGATTTAGGCTAGGGAATTATGTGTTTCTTATAAGCCTAGTAAATCTACTGAGGTACATTTCTATTTTGATAGCAGTTTTTTCATAGATGCAAAATATTAAACTTGGTCCTTCTTGGTCTTATATCAACCCTAGAACAGTGCTTTAAAATTTTTTAGATATATTTTGTATGGGTTATACACAGGGCTCATTGTGACAAAATCAATTTTGTTATTTTTATTATTTCTTTCCAAAATGTTTGGAGGGCTTTACTGTAAAATGTGAATTTTATATTCTGTGTAGTGGAGCTGTTAAAAAGAGAAAGAGACTGCACTAAAATAACAAATTGATGTGATGTCTTCTTATGCCAACATTTGCATGTATTTTGAGGCATGACATTAAAGTTCTGTGAGACAGGTTTTGTGTTTGTTTGGTTTTTTTAGCATAGAAAGATCTACATTTCTTTAGGAAGAGATATTTTATAATGAGACATTCAGAAACCTTTTTTTAATGTTTGAAGTTTTTCTGGCTCCCCCTGCTGTCACGACCCAGACTGGACAGACCAGGGAGTCGTGTTTAATTCGAAATTCCCTCGGGCTAAATTAAGGTGAGACGACACCAAACAAACAGTTAAAGATTTTTATTTATGACAGAAGCAAACAGAACTGGGGAGGTGTGGTAGTAGGTAGCAGGTTTTCTCACAACAGGAATTGGCATAAGACTACTTCTGTAAACTCTGTAACCCAGGGTCACCATATACATCAATTCAGGGAATAAAGAGATCCCTCCTGTTGAGTCACAAGGTTCAGAGCAGACCCCCTTGCTTTCCAGACTCCTCCTCAGAGAAGGGTCTAGGGGCGGCTGGATCGACTCTTAGTCTCAGACTTGGTCAACGGTTTATATCTTGAAACGGATGAGGTGTAGGGATTGTGGAAAAGGAAAAGGAAAGAGAGAAGAAGACAGAGAGAGAGAAAGGAAGAGAGAAAGATTTCACCGGTCCTGGGTCCAGCATCGGTTCAGTCATTTCACCGGTCCTGGGTCCAGCGTCGGTTCAGTCAGCTGAGGGGTCCAGTTCCGGTGGGCTTGCATGCCTGGGGCTTCAGTTTGTGTCCTTTTATCATCCTTGCCCTTCCTTCAGGCGGGCACCCAAACTCATCAGGTTAATGAGCAGTTTGTGAGCCTTTGGGCTTGAGGGTCCTTTGTGGAGTAACTTCTCCTTCCCTGCAGA